AACAAAATATTGTTTTTAACAATAGTAAAATATCATTATAAATAAATCTTAAATTTGTGGCCTGAAACAAGGCCTCTGGCTGATCAATAGAAATCAATAGGGGTGAGGGATGTAACTAACACACATCTGCTTCAGCAGTGTTTCTTAAACTTTAACATCTTTATGAATCATCTAGGGGTCTTTTAGTTCATCTTGGGATGGACCCTGTGATTCTGCATTTTTACCAACTTCTAGATGATGTCATTGCTGCTGGCCCACTTTTGCAAAGTTTTAGCAAATACAAGGTGTTCTAGCATCCAGTCAGTGATCCCTGGAGAACATTGGAACTTCTTAGCATGTCTCTGTCATAGAAAGAGTGCCATTAACTAAGGCAAATTTTGGAATATATCAATCTGTATCCTGAACGCTAAACTTTAGAATAAAGAAGGGATGGTTATAGGGAAACTAAATTAATAATATCTCCCTGGAGTATGACTGGAACATGGTGGAACTTTTGGAATCTGATCACTTACTGAGGGGACTTTTATTCCTAATCTCTACTTTTTCAGCCTAGTATCAATCTAGTAAGAATGACATAGGGAAAAAATACATAGGATAAGAGCATAATCCAATTTTGCAATCTCTGCCCATATCACTATTGTTAATGCTGATCTCATAAACAAATCTTCAGTTCCTCAGACCGATCATCCATCTCCTTACCTCTCTCTATTCCAGAGGTCCTCCTGGCTCTTGTGATGAAGTTTCAAGAAAGCTACTGACGTTTGTTATTTCCCCTAAATGAAGCTTAGCAATTTCTCAATTTTTTGAAAGCAAAGACCAACATGATATAAGATCTTATCATCCCTATTGGAGTGTAAAGGGATAAATAAGGTGTCTTTTCTTGCTTTTTTTTTTTTAAGATTTGTTTATTTATTTGAGAGAGCGTGCACATGCGAGCAGGGGAGGGGCAGAGGAAGAGGGAGAGAGAGGTAATCTCAAGCTGACTCCCTGCTGGGTGCAGAGCCCAACCTAGGGCTTGATCTCACAACCCTGAGATCATGACCTGAGTTGAAACCACGACTCGGACACTTAACCAACTGAGCCACCCAGGCACCCCAAGGTGTCTTTTATTTCTATTTGATCTGGTTGCTACAGGAAAAAAAAAAAAAAAGGAAACTTCAGAAAAATTGAAAAGGTTTGTTGATTGCCTCAGGAGAAGACAGACTATGAGAATGCATTCTCTTCCACGGTGGATCAGAAAAGAAAAACACTTCAGTCAAAAGCAACAAATGGTACAAACATTGGCTCCCTCAAGATGCTGCCTTATGATCCATCATATGGTGGGTTGGTAGCTTATATCCTGCACAAATTAATAGGGTGGAGGAACCCCAACAAAGCAGTCCCTGGACTGCCTCTGTAAGTAGACCAAATATATTCAGGTCTTCTGATAACTTTGCTCTTGCTAACTAACGGTGGCAACGGAAAAGTAAGCCAACTTTCAGGGGTCCACAGATAAAGGAAAGGCCCTCATCACACACAACTCCCCTAAACCCCTGCTTCCAGCCCCTGCATTGTCATCAGTAATGGGGGTTGGGGGTAGGGGAGGTGGGAGAAAGTCCCCATCCAGTAAAAATCAGAATTTGGGGAAACTTTTCTCTACCACTATAAGCTTGACAGCTTACCAGTACCAGTATTTGAAGACTTCTGATGAGATTAGCAGTGATTTTAACAAATGTGATTTTTTGATGTTGTATAATGAAATGTGTCAACTTTTGGAAGATATGCATAACTCAGTGAACCAATAGTTTTCAAATGACCAATAAATGTATGATGTTACAAAGTCATGCATGGGTAAAAGATCCATTCAAAATGCAAGACAGACCTGTAGATTTTAACGTGATAGAGTACATATAGTCTGTTAATATGATTTCAGATTACACAGTACAACGAACCTTTAGGAAACTTAAAACTTCTCAATTTTTGGTGTAATATCAAAGATGAATATCCGTAGTTAACTGAAAAATCTCTTAAATACTCCCTTTTTCAGCCACATACATGTTTGAGGCCACATTTTCTTCATATACCTCAACCAAAACAGTATGTCACAACTGGTTAAATGCAGAAGTAGGTATAAATCCAGCTATTTCCTATTAAGCCAGACATAAAAGAAATTTGCAAAGCATGTAAAAAATGCTACTCTTCTCACTAATTTTTTTTTGTTTTGGAAAATACAGTCATTTCCATAGAGTGTGTATATTATCATAAAATGAGTTTATTGTCACTATTTTTAGATAAACAAATACATATTTAATTTGTTCTCAGTTTTAATTTCTACAGTGTATATATTGATATAATCTAAATAAATAAAAACTCTTTGGCGTTCTCAATAATTTTTAAGAGTGTGCAGGGGTTCTGAGACAAAACGTTTAAGACTTGCTACTCTAAGCTAAGGACTATGCTTCATTACTTTTCATTTTATTTTATTTTTTTAATTTTTATTTAAATTCTAGGTAGTTAATATACAGTGTACCTTTCTTTTCTTTTATTCATTTGAGAGAGAGAGCAGGGGGAGGGGCAGAGGGAGAGAGAGAGAGAGAGTTTTAAGCAGACTCTGCGCTGAGCGTGGAGCCCAACATGGGGTTCCATCTCACAACCCTAAGATCATGACCTGAGCTGAAACCAAAAATTGGACAGTTAACCGACTGCACCACCCAGGTGCCCCCTTTCATTTTGAATATTGTGTCTCTAATAATTGCCCAAAATGTTTGTTATATTTTATGTTTGTGAAATGTATAGTAGAGAATGTTTTATTTCACATAGTAATTCTTTCTAAGGTTATGGAAAATTAAAACATAAATATGGAGAAAAATTAAACAGTAGTGGCTGAAAACAAAAGAAACAAATATTTGTGTCTTTAGTCTGGGTGATCTAATCACTACATATAGGTTAATTTTTATGGAAAATATATCCTCAGGTACCAAGGAGGGACTTACAAATACACCTAATCTGGCTCTTAGAAGACATGAGAAAGTGTAATTCTAAATTTGGTCTTGACTATACAACAAAGTAGCAGTCATAGAAACTTTTACACTTTTTGGATTTGCTTGTGTGATGGTTTGTCTTTCCCAATGAAGTTCTTTGATGACAGGGAATAGTTTCTTTTTGACTGCTATAGCCAGAGGATCTGGCATAAAGTATGACTTAATAAATATGTGTTGAATGAATGAATCAACAGAAAAAATTCTTAGACACATAAAAGCCAGTCCAGGTTGTTATTTAAGTTGTATTTATGGTTACTCCATTATCAGAAACGTAAGCCAGAGACACCATATACATTCCAAAGATATAAATGAAAGCTCCTTTGATGAACTCAACCAATCAGAAATCATTTTAGGAGATAATATTTTAGTGAAACTGAAATTTGATTGTGGTGTTGCTTTCCCTGGTCAGGTAGGAGTCAAGAATATGTATCACCAGAGGTGCCTGTCTGGCTCTGTTGATAGGGCATGCGACTCAATCTCAGCGTCATGAGTTCAAGCTTCACATTGGGCTTGGGGCCTACTTAATTCAAAAAATAAAATTAAGTTAAATTAAATTAAAGTAAAATAAACTAAAAGTGTATCACCAGACAAGACACATGTGGAACTATATACACTATGGAAATATTAACAGACAGAAAAAAATCTGTTTATCCAAGCAGCTCACCTTACTGCTAAGGATCAAGCTACTTGGAAAATATAGCAAAAATTGCCCTTGTATCCTATAGCATCATGACCAAATTTAGAATATGCTGGAAAAAGTTAAATTCCACCGGGGAATGATGAGAAAATATTCCAAAGTCACAATCTGAAGACTTATTTCTGGAAGAAAACTTTTGGTTTCCTAATATATTTCTGGTTTCTGGAAAGGCCAGCGTATACATTAAGTCTCTTTCATAGTGTGGAGTATACAGAGATGACATTATTCACCATATGATTACTCTTCAGTTTTTTAATATTTGAAAAGATTTCATGTTTGAGTCATTAATTCATTTTCCAGTAGGAGGGGGTGTGACTCTAACATCTCCCAAAATTGTACTGATTCTATTCTTCTTGACTTTAACTTCTTTCAAAGGAGAGTGGCTATTGTGAGAGTCCTATTGACACTATAAATCCCTATAATAACTTTTCAACCTACTTCCTGGCTCAGTAAAGCCTGAGAAACAAACCTCATTAATCACCTAGATAACCTAAAGTATAGAACAAACAAAAAAGAGTTCTCAAAATTCCTTGAGATAAGTAGTTGAAGTGCCAAAAACAGCTCTCGGGTACCTATGAGACATCCACAGATGAGAGGCTAGCTCTGTAACAGGTCTATTGTTCTTGTCAAAAGAAAATTCTGAGAGCTTTATTTGATATGAACATTCTATTGAGCAAGAAACAAAACTGTTCACAGACCAACAGGGAGACTTCAAGCTAAAAGGGGCTAGGAGCTCAGCTTTTAGCAGCTACAGCTCAGTTTATAAATCATGAATGAGGTAGTACTTTGGGAGTTTTTTAAAATTGTGATTGGTTACTAAAAACTTAGTCTTTTCAGCGTAGTAGCACCGTGCAAGCTTAATTGTGTGCAGCTGATTGGCTAGGAAGCTATAAAATGACATTGACCTGAAAAAAGCTTAAGTTTTGTTTTAGGTCAATCAGTATTTTGTGGAAATCAGGATAGTTTAAGTTTTGGTTACATGAATATGAGTGCTGGTCTAGGCATATTTTCAAACTGTGGTCTTCATGTTGGTTTTTCTTTAGCAGTTCTTACCAACAAATTATATGGCATAATTCAAGTTCAGGAAGCATTAATTAACTTGGTGTTTGTCAAAGGTTTATACCACATTGTAAATAAAACATCTTCCAACCCCTAAACTGGTGCCCCTTGTTCTTATGCAATGGATTCATATTTTGTGCCTTTGGAATAGTTTTGTGATACAAAGAGCTTAAGTCATATTGTAAAATGATAGATCCAATATTCTGAACAGAACTTTGGTCATTTATTAGTTTGTATCGTTGAATTCATCTGGCGTCCAAGAGTTGTATTTTAGGGTAGCTCATGTGTCAGAACTAAAACAAGCAAAAAAATATTTATTAAATATTTAAAATAAGTGTTTCATTTTAAAATAACATATACTCTATTGGGAATGTGCCCTAAAACAATGAAGCAATTAGTGGGAAAAAGCAAATGGCTGAAATGGTTAGATTTCAATAGTTAAGAAGCACTCTACACTGACCACTATTCAATACACACACTAGAATTGTGCTTCAACTTCTTCTAAACTATAAGCTACTTGAGGGCAATTATGTCTTTTTTTTCTCCACAATGTTTGGCATAATCTCTTATACCTAGAATTATAAAAACAGCTTGTTAGCATTTATCGGCTGTGTTTCTACATGGCAATATAATTAGCCCCATTTACAGATCAAGAAATTGAGGCTCACATTGAGATTATGTGATTTAATTGAGATTTTATAGCATCTAGGTGACTGAGTAAAGGTCTGAACACAGACCTGAACATAGAGCCCACTGTTTCCGTCATATTCATTCACACTGTTCATTTATTGAGTAGCTTAAATATATATCTGCTGAATTGACCGAAGCTTTTGTGACTTCTTCAGAGTAAGGATTTTATTCTGATCACAGAAATCCTTTCATTCAACTCACACAACTGTTATTACAAATAGGCCATGAAGGAAAAATAGGAAGTCTCTATGTTAAACAGCTATGGTCTCATTTGTATGGTACCTCTGAATAAATTTAAGACAGTTAATTAAATCCATTTCAGGATTGTTTTGTGTTTTTATGAGGCAAGGGTATATTAAATGTAGGGAGATATAATATTAAGACTAGAAGATACTTCCAAAATATTTTTTCAGTCTATATTTTTTCGATAAAGGCTGGTTTGTCTCCTCTTGCTTCCCCCTCCTCCTCGTTTTTGATCTGGTTATTCCTCTTTAAATAAGTGACATAATATTTTATGACTTATTGCAGCCAAACCCATATGTCAGGGATTTTAAAGCTCAACATTTTTTCCTTTCTATTGTATTGCATAAGTCAGATCCAGTGTTGTATCTAAGGATGATGGTTTTAGTTTTCTAATTACATTTTCAGACTTACAGCTTCATAGCAGGTTTTGATGGAGTTTGTATTCTGGAGAATGCAGTTTTGATGTTTTCAATATCCTGTTTAAAAGAACTTAAATGGGTAAAAAATGCAGTGTGGACACCAAACTACTGGAGTATCAAAACACTCAATGTCAATACTGAAACATATTATTTCAAAGTAAGGCAGTTTCTAACAATAAACCAAAAGGAATTCTTTTGTCTCTGGAGGACATTTTCATAAAATTAAAATGAGGAATACAGAAAAATTTAACCATTGGGTAAATACTGTCTTCACTTGGCTTCTATGACACTCCCTTCATTTTCCTTTCTCATTCTCTTTTACTGGGTTCTCCTTTTCTCTCCAGCTCTTTATGTAGGACTGTTCCAGTGATAAGTCCTTGGTCCTCTTCTCTTTTTCAGTTCTTTATCCACACTCACTATAATGATTTGAAATACTCTCTGTATGCCAACGACTCCTAAATTTTTATCTCTAGTCCATACCTTTCTCTCCTACTGCAGAATCATACGTCCCAACTGAAAACAACAATCAGTTGACTACTGTCTCAAACTCAATTATTTCCAGAACTGAAATCTTGAACTTACCCTTCAAATTTGCTCTACCTGAAGTCTCTCTCATCTCAATTGATGGTAACCCCATCCTTCCAGTCGCTTAGTTCAAAAGTCTTGGGGTCATCCTCGACTTCTCTCTCTCATGTGCTTCATTCAATCATCAGGAACTCCACCTTGCAAAAGAATCTGATCACTTCTCACTACCTCCCTCAGAACTACTCTAGTTGAAGCCATTGTCATTTCTCCCCTTTCACTTTCCTTCCCCTAAATAAAGTCTATTCTCCAAAGAAGAGCCTGAATGATGCTTTCAAAATGTAAGTCAAATCATGTTGTTTCTTTTCTCAAAATCCTCCAGGAGATGTGCATCTCACATAAAATAAAAGCCTAAGTTCTTACAAAATCCTACACAATCTGCTATGTCTAAACCCTTCCCCCACCTACTCTCCTCCTTTCTCATATTACTCCTGGCTTCTATGGTGTTACACAAACATACCATGGTTGCTCTAGACTACGAGTCTTGGAATTCTATGTTTCTGTTGCTTGGGCAGCTTTTCTCCTAGATAACCAGCTTTACTCAGATAAGCAGCTCTTCCCTCAAATAACTGCATAGTTTACCCATTACCTCTTTCAAATCTCTGCTTAATTTAACTTTTTCAATGAAGGCTACTCTGACAATCCTATTTAAAAGGTGCAACCGGCCCCTTTACCCTCTCATCTTCCTTTATCCTATTCTATTCTCTCCATGCCATGTGTTACTTTCTAGCTCACCACCCTGTTTGTGTGCTCATTTCACGTCTTCTTCCAGTAGGACATAAACTTTATACAGCAAAGGCTGTTTTGTTCCAATATTTTGAGGGCTTGGCCCATAGTAGATGCTCAATAAAGGATTCTAACAAACTCATCATTTCAGTATTCATACAGCTGGGCAAACCCCCTAAACTTTTCTCAAAGCTAAATTTCACCATTTCTTTTTATTTATTTAAGATTTTATTTTATTTGAGAGACAGAGTGAGCGAGAATGAGCAGGGGGAGGAGCAGAGAGGGAAGCCGACTCCCCGTTGAGCAGGGAACGAATGAGTGGCTCGATCCTGGAATTCCGGGATCATGGCCTGAGCTGAAGGCCGACCCTTAACGCCTGAGCCACCCAGGCGCCCCTAAATTCCGCCACCTTCTTAAATGGCTAAAGATCACAAAGTAGTAGTCCACCTTTTTCTTTAAGAACTTCCTGACCCCGGAAGTAAAAGATTAAGTAAGGGAGTCTCAGGGGGAGCTATTTCCGTTTCCGTACAGACGCCTAGAAGCAAACACCATGGCGAAAGCCGGGGATAAGAGCGGCAGCCGAGGAAAGAAAGGCCTGAAACGGAAAGCGACCGCCGAAGAACCTCAGGAGGCTGCAGCCGCTGAGGATGGGGCGCCGGAAAGCGGGGTCCAACTCCCGAAAGCGGCTGCCTTCCCCCCGGGCTTCAGCATTTCGGAAATTAAGAACAAACAACGGCGACACTTAATGTTCACGCGGTGGAAACAGCAGCAGCGTAAGGTAGGACGGGGCGGAGGCGGCAGGGCGCATGCGCCGCGTCATTCTTGCGCGCGTGTGGCAGTGGGGCGGGGAATAGCGCTTGCGTGGTCGCTCTTGCCTCGCGTCCCGGAGACGGTAATTAATCTAGACGAGTGAGAATGATGTTTTTGTGTCCTGGTCCCCTCGCACTGTTTGGGAGACTTTCTCTAGGTTCAGCTTTTTACCTGAACGTCAAGGTTTCTCTTCCTTTCTAGCCCCTTTCTAGGTTCCCCCTCTGAGAATGAAAGCGAGAAGTACCGCTCTCCTAGCAGTGAAAATACCCTGCTGACCTGGATGGCGAAATTCTTCCATCTCTGTGCTTCGCCTACTCCATCTAACTTTGGCTGATTCCTAGAATCTGTAAAACGGGCACTGCATAAACCCAAAGTGATGCTTCTCTGATTCCTGGACAGCAACTCTTACCGAAATTAATTCTGTGAAGTTTCTAGTAATTGTGTTTACAACGTTCCCTTCAGCCTGTTCTAGGAGATAAATATGAGGAGATAAAGCTCAAGGTCACAGTGCTTATTTGTGGCTAAATTGAAATTGGAAGCAAGCATTTGTTTATTCTTGTACGTCATAAAAGTTACACACATAATATTCTTTTTACTTGCCTGTCTCCTCTTACTAGATGCTAGATTTTTTGAGGCGGTGGATTGTGCCTTATTCATTATAAGCGCCAAAGTGCTATTGGAGTACATAGAGAATCTAACTCATTCTAGGTGAGCGCGTTTGCGGGAAAGGTCTCCTAGAATTCTGACTTCTTGACACCATAATCTGAAACTTGATGGGTGGAGGGTAGATAGGCACTGGGGGGTGGGGGGGAGAGTACTTTGTATTGTGTGTTAAGCATTCTGTTTAGAAATATCCGGAAGGTACAGATTTACAGTACAATTGTAATTCACCTTGCAAGTTCTTAATAATTTTAAAAGCATATTTTGATTATAAGATTTATGGAAAACTAATGGTGGTTCATTGGAAGCAATCTGAAAACATATCTCCCATTCTCATTTATTTTTAGTACTTTCCAAAAGAAACAAGCAGCATAGCCATGGTTTTCTTTAGAACGCACCTTGTTAGGAATGCAAAATAAAACAAAAACTTGTTTTAAGTATACATTTTACATTTTTACTTAAATTGAGACTTTTTTTTTTTAAAGATTTTATTTATTTATTTATTTGAGAGAGAGAATGAGATAGCGAGAGAGAGCATGAGACGGGGGAAGGTCAGAGGGAGAAGCAGACTCCCTGTTGAGCAGGGAGCCCGATGCGGGACTCCATCCCGGGACTCCAGGATCATGACCTGAGCCGAAGGCAGTCGCTTAACCAACTGAGCCACCCAGGCGCCCCAAGATCTTTATTTTTTATTGATTGGCCAGCTTATTTGGTTTACATTAACTTAGGTATGAAAATCTGTGTCAGGATGTTTAATACATTACAAAGATTGCTCAGTTTAAGTATTCATAGCATTAGTAATGTAGAGTTTCGGTATGTGTTTGTGATATAACTGGTGGTTTCTCAATATTGTTCTTTGCTTTAAACTTTTTAGGAGAAGTTGGCAATTAAGAAAAAACTTAAGAAAGAGAGAGAAGCTCTTGGTGATAAGGTAAATAAAATTTTTAGCCATCTGCTTTTTGTCTTATATTGAGGAATGCTTCCAGATATTTATGTTGTATCATTTTCTTTTAAATTTATTATAAAATATTCCCAGTGTATAAAAGATGTGAAAATAAATAGTATAACAAACCCCTTTCTATTCTTCACTCAGCTTAGAAACAGTGCGTTTAGCAAATAATATTCAAAGTCTTTTGGATGCTTCTTCCTGATTGCTTTCCCTTCCAAAGATAAGCACTTATGAAATTGTCATGTTTTGTTCCCATGCACTTCTTTTTTTGTGTCCCTAAACAATGAAGACAATAGTGGTGTTTTGCATTTTTTTCAAAATTTCATATAAATGGTGTGTCTGCTTCATCGTGCTTATTTTACTTAATTTAATGTGTTTGAGAGACAGAAACTCATCTTCCTGACTTTGGGAATGGGGAAGCTCCCCAGTCTACGCCTTGCCAGACTTGCCAGTATTAGACTGTTTTGACTTGCAGAATCCTATCAAGTAACGTTAGTCTCTTAATTTTCTCAGTAATCAGTCAATTACAGCAAATATGCCAATCACCATTTGGAAATTTCACCATTCTTGTTTTTTGGACTGAAAGATGACTTCCTAGAACTGCCTCCTTTAAGAAATTACTTTTAAAACTTAATATTTGTTTCATAGAATAATAAAAAATAAAATCCTAGTTTATCAGTTCATACTTCTTCATATCTCTGGTAGCATACATATGTTTTGAATTTGTTTTAGTCAGTGTAGGCTTACAATTCTGTGTTCCTGCTCCTTAGCATTTCATTTACACAGCTTTTTGGTCTAAGCTGAGAATGTATGTTGCCAATTCTAACAGTATTCCATTATGTTAAAGTGTCGTAGTCATTACCCTCTTATGTTGGATATTTGCCCTATTTGCTGTTCATTTCCACCAGTAATAGTGACACTGCATATTTGTTTATATATTGTTTCTCCCTTTCATTCCTTACCATAAATGCCTCAAACTAGAATTACTAGCTCAGAAGATTAGATTTGTAGCTTTTGTTACTTATTTCTGAATAGCTTTCTGGAAGTATTGGAAAGGTAGATATACCTTTGTACAGCCAACCCTTGAACAGCATGGCAGTTGGGTTGCAGACCATCTCCACTCCTGCACAGTTGAAAGTCCCAAAAACTTAACTATGAATACCCTACTATTCATCTGAAGTCTTAATGATAATGTAAATAATCAATTAACACATATTTTATATGTTATATTTACTATATACTGTATGCTTACTATAAAATAAGCTAGAGAAAAGAAAATATTCAGAAAATTATAAGAAAATACATTTTTAGTCTTGCACTGTAAAAAATTCGCATGTAAGAGGGCCTGCACAGTTCAAATCTATGTTGTTTTAGGGTCAACTGTAATTTTTTTCATTCTGTTTAATAAACTTAGCAGATAATTATTTTAATTCCACTTTCTTCTTTCAGCTACTTCTGTATGGTTTTATGTCATTTCATTCAGTTAGCAATTCTTCTGGGATGTTTATGTTTCTGCTCAGAGTTAAAAACCTCTTACTCGGTATTATTTTTAGGATTGATGTAGCAGTGGAAGTGAGGAACAGATTTAGTTTTTGGATTATTTGTAAATTTCTGTTACTCTTCCGCAATCAGAATGCAAAATTATTAATGTAAATTGTTTCTAAAACTTAATCTTTTTTTCTTTTATTTAGGCTCCACCAAAGCCTATACCAAAGACCATTGACAACCAGAGAGTATATGATGAAACTGTAGTAGACCCTAATGATGAAGAGGTAATGTTACAAGTCTTAAATAAATTTGGATGGCCACATTTGCTAAATCATTTGTTCATATATTGATACTTAAAGTACTGGCTGGTGAAGTTGTATAATGGACTGATTCAGCTATAATGTTGGCATATTATTTGCTATAGATTATTTCATAATTGAATTTCTCAAATATTCTAGAAAAAGGCAGTGGGATTACTTATTTTCTAGAAATGTATGATATTTTATGCCTAGGTAAACTTTTTGTCATTTAGTATCTTGTGTAGTGCTTCTGTTGTTTTTAATATTCGAAAATTATTCCTCATACTATAGATTTTTGTAGTATTAGACATTTTGATTTAAGGATAACATTTGGTGGTATTTCCTGTGTCCTCATAAAACTCTTGGCTTCAAGATAATATCCACTTGTCACTTTTCACATTTTCCTTTTAAATAGTTGGCAACAGTACAGTGAGAGAATCAGCATTTTTAAACTTTTTTTTTTGTATAGCAGATTTGGTTTTGGTTATATTTGCTCTCCAACAGTACTGTTAGTGACAGTCTTTAACATTTCCTGATATAGTCATTCATTCAATCAGTCTGTCAATCTTCCAGCAAATGTTTGATTGCCTGCCATGTATTGGGATCTGTTTTAGGGACTTGGAACCCACCAGTGCACCAAACACTCTGCCATATATACACACAAAGTATCAGCCCACCTGGAACTTA